TGGCACTTTCTGACCCTGCGCCTTGGACATTGCTGGAACTCAGGTTCTGTGACGTAAGTTGCAATCGATAATACAATGATGGTCATTTAAGACCTATTCGCAGACTGGTTTTACTGGGACTGGGAGGACTTGGGGGGTGGGAGATGGTGAAGTAAGGGAAGGTACAAGCAATATGTCAAAGGAGATTGGGCTGGGTGGGAGTGTGGGGGTGGGGGCGGGGGTGGGGTGGGTGTGAGAGGAGATGGCGTTGGTCAGCCTCTACCGACAGCTGTTGGTACTTTTTTAAACTTATGAGGTAAACTGGTGTTATTGTATTGTGTAGGTCGTTTATATTGCTTTTTAATATCCCCTTTTTAATACTGAACTGTTGATCAGGTGGATGGACGGCCAGGGTTTTTTTTTCTTTGTTGAAAAAGTATTAGTAGTTTATGAACTAATGGCCGAGTCTGGTCACAGATATAAAAGGTAATGTTGCTTTAAAAACTGTTCGTTAAACAGTCGCTCTATATACACCATGTTTTAAAATTCTTTATTTTGCTAAAGTGAACCTATCGGCTTTACCGATGCACTCCTTTCATTCTGTTTGCTTATATACAGTTATGTTTATCGTTTGTGGTATCTAGGTGATATCGAGATTAAACGTTTAAAAGAAAATATTGTTGATTTTACCCATGAAGACAAGTATGAATAAGCTTTTAAACAGAGTCATTTCGCGCCATACTGTGATAACGATACTGGAATGGGGAGTTCTCCCTGCCGACTCTGTGTAACTGATAAAGGAAAAACAAACAAACAAATAAACAAACATACACACGAACAAACAAACAAACAAGTGAGGGAGGGGAAGAGCTGTGGGCGAAGTTGGGATGGGCATAGCATGTGAGCCTGTGGGAAACCGCTTGAGGATGAAGGCGAGAAATTCCCAATAATCCCCAGTTGGGACTGGGGGTGGAGTGCCGTTGGGAATTTCCTTTGAGTTTTTAAAATATCACTAAGTTTAGGCATCCCCCCCCCCCTCCAACCCAAACACACACACCCACACCCACACCCACGCCTCTTTCACACTATTCTCAATTCTGATTTTTTCCCCCGAAGTCTTTTACACCCTCGTCGTAAAAGGGACTTTTTTTAAAAGGGGAGGGGGGGGGGGGCGGCAGGATCTATGAAAAATAAAAATAGCTGAGAAAAGAAGAGCCTGTCGGGGTGGTTAAAGTCAGGAAGTCCTGCGAACGTTTCGATTACACCTGGGATTAACATCTGGAAGACTGACCACCGGGAGAAGGGGCCTGAAATAGGAGCGTGGGCCAGCAGGAGCCCAACAGGAGGGATTTCTCACGTTGTCCGCTGCCCAATCTATTTTGGCGCACGTCTTCAAGTGGCTACCTAAAACAGCCGTTTGCACAGCGCTTTTTGATGCCAAAAGCTGCCAGCCAAGTGTGGTTAGCATTAACGAGATGCAAAAATAGATACACCTTAGTGTGGCATTCCTGCTCTCTTTTGTGATGGTGTGAATGGTTCATGTCCAATAAAATGACTGTTTAATATGTTTCAATGTTTTTTCACAATGTGCAGTATAAGACTTCAGCCGTATCGCCTCATGGAGGCCGTCGCTGGTACATTTTACTTCAAACAAAGACATCTCCAAAAACCACTCCATAATAGTAATAATAATAAGTTTGTGTCTGTTTTAATAAAAGAAAAAAAATCCCAAACCAAAACATCCAGCCTTACTATAGATAACGACAGGTTCCAATTGTCTTCTTTATCCTGAAAGGAAGATCATGGTACGTGCTGTCAAAGATGTGTTTAAAGATAAACCTTTCTCTCATCGTCAATATTGAGAATGTGAGACAAATGATATAGATTAGGTTGTTTTTTGGGGGGTTTTTTTCCAGCTTTGTACCTCATTGAAAAAATATACTTCCAATGATATGTGTGTTTCTAATGAATAGATTTACTTCCAGCGGTATGCGTTCTCTTCTAGACTACTCACTCCCAATTTATACGCTATCGGGTAAAGTAAACAATTCATTTCCAGTTTAAGTGGTTTGCTCCTTAATTTTTTCCTGTCAAACAATTTTACTATCGTCCTTATCTCTTTTCCTTCTTGTCTATTCATACGTCACTCTTTAGTAACACCTCTAATCTTCGGCATTTATATGACCATATTCTGTTTCAAGTGCCGTGAAACTCTTACTAAAACTAAACCATTTATGATTTCCTATGTACCACATAAACCACAATAATATATTATTATCAACTTGCAAATTGTTCAGTTGCAGTGTTATACGTTATCTACTAAACGGGTTTTTTTTTAATTGTCGGGAGTGTTTCCATTGTGGAGTCACCGTGAACCAAATAACATCTTCCCATAAACCAATGTAGTAGGGAAGCCATGGACACTTCTTGTTTGCCCCTAGAGGAAGACGCTATTGGTATACTGGTGACAGATAAAGCTTTTCTAAAGTAAAGGAGTAAAGAAAGGGACTAGTGTTGTTTTTTTGTGGTTTTCGTAAAGTGTTTCACGGCGCTCGCAACTGCATAGGTCATATGAGCGCGCGGGACAATCCTAATATTTTCAGTTGGTAGGAAATTTTGAATTTTGCCCGGGTGGCGGCCGAAGCTTACTCTTATCGATTTTAGACCACCAAGGGATCTTTAACGTGCGCAACTTGCACACGGGCCCTCCGAGATTTTTCGCCCTTGTCCGAGAAGGCTAGGTGTAGATCTTTCCAACCAGAAGCTCAGGGGTGTGGCAGAAAGACAGCAGTAAGGAGGAACCAAGGAGTAGCAGTAGAAAGTCTGCAGAAAGAGTCAGGAGCCCAGAGGAGGGGGCAAAGGAGGTGAGGGGGTGGGGGCAGAAAGTGGAAATGAAAGCAGACAACAGAACATTGCTAGAGAGCATGAAAGGAGGTGAAAGGAGACACTTTTAGAGAAGAAAAGTTTTCGGTCGCTACCCGGATTCGAACCCGGGACCTTTGAATGAGAGGCCAACACCTTAACCTCTAGGCCACGAGAGCCCCCTAGTGGCATTAACTGATAAAAATAGAATGTATAAAGGAAGGCATGGGCACTTCGTGGTCACCTCTCTGGAGAGACGCTACTGGAGACAGATAAACCTTTTTTTTTCAGCTAAGGTTTCAGTTTCAATTCAGTAAATGTTTTACTGTACTTGCAACTATGATATAATAAGGCCATTATCAGTGCACCAGCTAGTTGTATTCACGTTAGTTTAGAGCACGGCTTGGTTTTAGTTTGCGAGTAAGAAGGACTAACATATCTAAAAAGACACCGTAACATTTCCAGATTTAAAAATAAAATTGTAGTTTACTTTTTATACGTTCGCATTCTACTTAGATCTATATCATTTCTGCCACTAGTCTTTTTTTTGTTTTACTCCTTTACTATATGAAAGCTTTAGAAATCTGTCACCAGTTGCGTCTTCCTCGAGGAGCAACCACGAAGTGCCCATGCCTTCCCATAAACTACATTGTTCAGTCGAACCTGCTTTTACGGTCTTCTTCATAAGACAATCACCTGTACAAACAGCCATTTTCCATTTCCCCCTTGGTTGTTTTTTTAAAAACTATTTTTTTATAACATTACAATGACACTGTGTAAGATTTTCCCCTATTTAAGACAACCGGGTTTCTCCCTCCTCGACAATGGGTGGCTTTAGTGAATTTCGACTAAATGTTTACCAGTTCTGTTATTTAACATTAATTGTTCGATCTTACCTCATAAAAGGTTTATCTCTCCACGGTAACGTCTCTCTCGCTGAGCAATCACCGAGCGCTCATGTCTTTCCTTAAACAGTGTATTTATACCAGTAATGTTAATAACCGTCTGTTCTATTTTACCTAATAAAAGGTGTATCTATCTCCATTGACGGCTCCTTTCAGAGGTGACTAAGGAGGGCTCGTGTGTTCCTTTAAATTAAATTGTATTTATTTTAGTTATGTTAATAACCGTCTGTTCTACCTTACCTAATGAAAATATTTAATCTGTCTCCTGTAGCGTCTCCCTCGAAGAGCCCGTGGTTTCTTGTAAAGTATTTATATCAGTTATGTTATCAACTATGGCTGTGAATGCTGGACAATCACTAAAGACAGTGAAAATAAAATAGAAGCAACAGAAATGTGGTTTCTTAGGAGACTGCTGAGAATAATTTTATCGTGGAAGGAAAAAAATCAAATGAGGTAGTGCTTGATGAAGCCCACGTGGTACTGTCACTGTTAAAAACAATCAGGAAACGACAAATGCAGTTTTGGGACACCTGAATAGACAAAACGGTCTTGAACATCTAGCTCTCATTGGCAAATTTGAAAGCAAACGAGGCAGGGGCAGGCCCAGAGCAACCTACTAAGGAAACCTAAACAAATGGATAACGGGGTAAGATCAGGGAAACGCAGCTTTTTTATGAGCATCCGAGCAAAGGAACGAATTGAGAACAATGATCGCCAATATTTGTCGCAGATCTTGCAGTGGATGATAATTGTGTTATTAACTGTCTGTTCCACCTTGTCTAATACCTGGATACCTGAAGGTGTCATCTCTAACTCAGAGGTTGACGTGTAATGACCCTCCATCTTTCACGGTCGCGAGCTGCCATTGCACATGCTGCCATATCCAGGCCAGTCCATGTTCTTATGCTGTCCATCCATGTTAATCTTTGCCTTCTTCTGGCCCCACATCTTTCCTTCCAGCACCTCTTTCACAATGGTCTCGTGTCCATTTAAATGGCCACAATATTGTATTTTTCTACATCTTATTTTGTACCTTACCTAATGAAAATGTTTAGTGGGTGATTGACGGGTGCTCTGGAGGGGTTTGCTCCTTCTTTCCTATCCAACATCTATCGTCCTTATCTGTCGCTTCTTCTTTTTTTGCGCATGTTACTCTCTTGTAACACGTCTTCAGCACTTATATAACCTTATTGTGTTGCAACTGCCGTAAAACTCTTTCTAAAACTAAAACATGTACGTTTAATCTGTCTCCAGTAACTTCTCCTTCAAGGAGCAGCCACAGACCGCCCACATGCCTTCCCTGGCGGAGGACAGCCTGAGTAGTCTGAGCGACTGCTCGCTCTACACGCCCCCGTCTTCCCCTGACGACAGCAGCACCCTCAGCAGCAGTAGCGCCACAAGCTTCTGTTGCCATGGCTGCGACAGCAACAACTGCACGGACAGTGATTCCGCTGGGAGCGGTTGTAGCGGAGGGCAGCATCATCAGCACCACCATCATCAACACCATCATCATCATCACCACAGTCTTCACGAGCCACATCATCACCTGGAGTCGTTGACGGAACCGGAGGTAGAGAAGGAGCTGCCGGAACTGAATAATGTCCAGTTGGAGGTGAGTGGATCTTTGGAGAAATTGTCTGTCTGCATGTCTATCTTTCTCTCTCTACCTGTCTGTCTGTCTGTCTGTCTGTCTGTCTGTCTGTCTGTCTGTCTGTCTGTCTG